AAAAGCAGCAAATCCACACATATGAGAGGCTAGAACCAAAAAAATGCAATTTTGTGTTAATCAATTATCAGAATAGCTGCAGATGTATTTTACTGGTTAATTAATCAATTATTTGCTGAAACTGTGGCAATGACTAGAGGAGTAAATTTATAAGATGTGTGGTTTTGGTTCTGCAAACAAAAGAAATGCAAAAAGTACTTTTTGACAATTATTTTGAAAAATCCAAATATTAAATGGTGGTGCAGTGGCCACCGTTTTTTCTGTAAAATGGATGACACATGCCATATACAGTTGAAGCCAGACGTTTACATACACTTAGGCTGAAGTAATTTAAACTGATTTTTTTTTTTTTTTACTGCTGCTTAACCACTCCACAGATGTCATGTTAACAAACTCTTATTTTGGCAAGTTTGTGAGGATGCATCACACAAGTAATTTTTCCAACAGATGTTTAAAGACAGTTTATTCAAAGGTCAAGGTCAAAGTGTTTATTTGTCATATGCACAATTAGGAAACGTGCTTCTCTGTACAATGAAATTCTTACTTTGCCGTCCACATGAATGCCACAAAATACAAATGAAATATAAAGTAGATAAATAAGTAACACAAAATCTAAGGCACTTTAAGCAGCAAATGCAGCAATATAATAAAAATATATAAGAATATAACAGAGAATGTATGCTGCATGGGAGCAGCATGTGCAGCAGTCAACACTCAATGTGCAAACTGAGAATGTAAACAGTACATCACGTATTTCCTGGTAATAAACTCCTCAGCTGTTTAGGAGTCTGATGGCAGAGGGAAAGAAAGAGTTTTTCAGTCTAGAGGTCCTGCATTTCACACTTCTGAACCTCCGGCCAGAGGGTAGGGAGGTGAACAGTCTGTGCTGGGGGTGGGAGGGATCTTTGAGGATGGAGGCAGCTTTTCTACACACCCTGCGGTGGTAAATGCTCTGCAGATATCTAGGACTCATAACTCTTTCAAAAGGCCCCTCTGTTTTCTAGCAGCTCTCCATAGCCCTTGAAGTCCATACTTTGTACTCAGAGGGACTACTGCTGCTGTGTACTAACATGTAACTGCTGTGTACTACTGCTCCTTGACACTGTTGAACAGGAGTGGACCTCTATCACAGTATGTTTAATTTGATATCATATTGTGATATGGTACAAACAAACAAAAACTGTTGCAAAGCAGTTAATAGATAAAATACCTAGATGGAAATGTTTTTACCCTACAGATCATTGTATGTTGTTACACTGATGCAAAAATCACATTGAATCCTAAAGCTCTAAACTTCATTCTATCTGTAGATCATTTATCAGCATACTGACTTTAAAGTTCCTGTGTGGGTTGGGGAGCTAGGAAGATGAGGGTTTCACCCTAACACAGGCCTGGTCCTGCCTTTAGATCATGTTGTTGTTGCCCACAACAATTTCCTCACTGTAAGAATTTCACTGGAAATAGCTCACAGCTTGTTTTGATATAAATTTAGTAAAAAACTTGCAGCTGAAAAATGAAATTGTTTTTCACCTTCACTTGAATAAAAATGTTGCAAAAATACACAAGTTTTGGTGAAAATATAGATGTACATATCCTTTGCTGCTAACTGTTAATGGTCCTTATGTTGCTATTCCAATGCCACTGTGACAAATTACTCAATATTAAAATGGTGTTTTACTATTGCATTACTATTACAGTGCATCTACAAGCTGAAGCTCTGTCTGTATATTAGTTTGTTCTGTCTAGAAGGCATGGGTTGTTTCACTGAGTCTTGGTTACCTTGTTGTGTTTGTTAGCAACCAGGCTTCCCTGGGTGTGAACACTAGAAAGAAAATAAAACCTACACCTGTGAGTAACCCAGGGATGTTAGTCTGGTTTGAGAACAGTGGTTTTCATTGTGTCTATAGACGGTTGTGTGATTCAATCACTGTCAACATCTTCTATGTTTCTTCGTCTTTTATTAAATGTAGACACAGAGGGGTGGAGGTATTTATAGTTCCTTGCCCTCAGAACAAAGACTTTCTTGATTAATAGTAGTTCAGATCTCTCAGTCACGACTGAGGGGGACTGATTTATAAATACCCATCCGTTTATTAGTGATCCCTGCTTATCCTAGAGGGTCACAGGCAATTTAGAAGTGCACCTCTGTTTTCAACTTAATGGACAAAGAACGTTCGTCAGAGATTCCCTCTTGGTGATCAAAGTCTCGATACCCATTCCTTTAATATTCAGGTTAGAGAAAAATAACAAATGCAGGTGCTTCTATAAGGGCGCAAGGGTTGACTGAATGTTTGGATGAGTATGAAAATGATGTGAGTAATGTGCTATGACCTTTACAGTCACCAGATGTCAACACAAATAAAAACCAGTGAGAGATTTTGGAGCAACTTATTAGGCCCCTTTCAGACATGCACCTTGTTAAATGTGATAGCAACGTGGCATGTCAAGGGGTATGTTACTAGAAGTTGCACTAAATCTCTTCTGTTTTTCCTTGTTTCTGTTGCTCCTGACATCATTCAGCAGAGGGCAGCAGCACCTTCACCGTTGTCTTGTTTTGAAGTCGGTCATTCAGCAGTGTTTATTTGCTCAACCTTTCTTAATGCCTTTCCTGGAGCTATCTGTAATCAGGCACTGTGTGACCTGTACTCACTGCTGCTTATGTAGAGGTTATATTGAGCTGAGTCCCTCAGGCCCCAGGGCTCAGTCTGTCCCTGGCACGGCATAGGTTAGACAGAGGTAGAGCTGCATTACTCATCAGGCTCCACCACACGCTCAGACTGGCCCTGTACTCTATATGTGTGTATTGGAGTGTAAATCAGGACTGCACTCCAGCTACAATTCAGTGTAACACTGGGTGAAGAGGCCAGGGAGGTTTACCCATGTTGTTTAGTTTTTATAGCAGATGGACCAGATGTGCAGCTGATTCAGCCCAAGGTCTCACCATACAGAATGAGTAACAGCAGGACTGCACACATAGACTACACACAGACAGATTCATTTTTAATTGGATCCCTTCTGACTCCTCGGTTTGCATAGTTTTAGTTTGCCCTGACTGTCCTTTTATTCACATGAACCCAAATCCTGATCATATTTGACACTGAAGTCAATTGATTCATTATCTTGCATGTTGTTTTGAAGGGTTTATGGGTGATGTAAGCCAGACTCGGTGTCCTGTTGGCCCACAGCAGGTGAGCCCTTTTGACAGCTCTATTAACAAACCCAAAGAACAAGGTGTCCTCATCATCTACACAACTCAGTCAGTATCTGTGTTTTGTCACCCACAAGCAGCAACTGCATGAAGCCTGTGTCCTGTTTCACACCTCCACGTTGATGGGGCTCGTCCATTTGCCCACCCCTCACCCACATCTCTACACATTAGCTACTCCATTAGACCTAACACCTCCACTTTTTGTTGTGCATTTGTCCACCACCTGTGTGGGATGCTTCAGGTGTGATTGTGCTTCAGCCCTGTGTGCATCTGCCTGTCTGGCTGAGTTTCCCATTGTGGGTGTGCACACATGAATTCAAAAGAGCCAGAAGGTCTTTGTTTTAACTGAAACCAGTGAACACGCTGCCCCTTTTCTCCCAATTATACCAATCCACATATGGGTGGCAGTCGGACCCTACCCCCCCAGCGGTACTCACTATACAGGTTTCAGTTTAAACATCTGGCTGAGTGCATCAGGGTATGCCTGCTATTGATATTCTAATTGATCCCCTCCCCCATTTCAACTGAAGACACTGATTACAGCTATTTTAAAGCAGAGTTGCTCCAAAGAGCAGAGACTGCTTTAATTAACTATCAAGAAACAGCTAAGTAATAATTACATTGTAATTTACTGATTAAAAGCATGTTAACCAGAATTTGCCACCTAATTTAAAACCTATTAGTATCTGATCAATTGATGCAAGGCAATTCCTCTTTGATTGAACAATGATTATGCATGATTTCAGACTCAGTTTCACTTGGAGAATATAGAGTAATCAAAGTGGTCATCTGGCTTTGAATCAGTTATGGGTATTAGAGTCATTAATGATCACAGTAATGTAAAATAAGGATGGTTTCTTAACTTTTATGGTAGTTTTATCTATATCAGTGTAATGTACAAGTTGAATTTTCCTCACTTATAAGTAGCAAACAGTGCCACCAGCTTCTAAAAGCAGGCTGATTCTCACAGATAAATCCATATTGATGTGTATGTCCACAATATTCACAAAGAAATCGCAACACTTTAAAATGTTTTATGGGGGTCATATTTATGTATGCTTGACCTGTATTTTCTTGTATTGTTGACTGACCTATGAATTATTTTTCTCAATCAAAATGTATAAAATGTCCACAAACCCAATGATATTCATTTGATAATGATTTAAAACTGAGAAAAAAACAGTAAAAGCTCACATTAAATAAGCTGGAACCAAAAAGTTGTGGCATTTTTTTTTCTAAAGAAATAACTTGTATTTTTGAAAAATTGTTGCTAGTTATCTTTCTGTTAATTGTTCCAGCTCTGTATTCATGTCCAAAAAGTGCTATTTGCTCTTACTGTTGTCTGTGATAGTTAAGCTATATGTTGAACTGCAGCATGTGTAGTGCAGTTTTGTGACCAAATGTGCGGCTTGTAATGTTTGTCATGTTGAATAACACACATCTGTTAAAATGTTGTTCTAGTATCAATTCTTCTTGCAACTTTCCTTACCCTCATGAGAGTTGTTTGCGTCAACTCTGAAAAATTGTGATCTTAAAAATTCTCACTACTGTTTTCACTGAGTGGGTTTTGAATACGTTTTTACTGAGTGTGCATAAGTATGTAGGCAGCTTCTACTGACTTCCAAATAACTGACGCCACCTCATGAGGGCTGAGCAGGGCTCCTCCCCTTCTCTCCTCTTCATATAAAGTCCTCTCTCCTTCATTATACCTCAGACCAAAGTTTAAAGTGTGTGAGGGGAGCTTTCAGAAAAACCCTGTCCCATTAAGGAGAAAGAAGATGACAATCAGGAGGGAGGTGTATTATTTATTTAAGAGTTTTTTTTTTGTTTTTATCTCACGCAATCCTTGAGTTTCATTCAATTTTTTTTCTTCTGGTGTGGATTACTTGGAGCTGACCCGCCAGGATTAAAAAAGGATCTAGTGTTTTTACTGAAAGCTATGGTGGCTTACGATGAACTGGGTAGCTTGGTTCCTGTCAAACGGACTCTGCAAGTGATAGACTACCAGAACCAAGCGAATAAAGAGTCAGAGGTGAGATGCAATTTCTTGGCAATTTTGGTTCAACCGGACTAAACAAGGAGGTAGTAAAGTACATTGACATACAAAGCGCAGGAAATGTTTGCTTCCACACATCCTGCTATGAGGAGGTATTTTAATGACAGCATTTGTCAGAAGTGGGATCGTGTGTCTTTCAGTAAATGCTTGACCATAATAATATTTGTCATATGTCAGACTATGAGTAATTCAGGCCAGCCCTGTTTTTTTCTCACTTGGACGCACTGTGTGTGTGTGTGTGTGTGTGTGTGCGCACGCTTGCTGTGCCTGTGAGACTTTGAACTTTGTGCTGAGGCATTTAGAACAATGCTGGAGATACTGCTTGACCTGGAAAAGTTAATCATTGGATTACACTGCACCTATGAAGTAAACAATGAGCTATTCCCCCCATCAACACAACCCCCCAGTGTTGTGTATTCAGCGTCTGTTCTTAAACATTTATCCCAGCAGGTAGCTCAGTCTTGGTGAGTTAAGGAGAGTCAGTAGACTCAAAGTACCACAAACAATAAAGCAGTAGGGTGTGAACTCTGTCAACAACTCTGCATCCTTTGAGTTCAGTCCCATCTAGAAATACTTTGCTTTTGACCTCTGGCTTTTGAAATTAAAGCACTTTTTTAATGCAAACACAGCACCCTGAGAGTATTCTCTCAGCTGCTAATACTATGAAAGGGACCCAGGTGGTGAAACCCAGGTATTCTCTGTACTGATTAAAGCACTACTTCAGCTCTTTCCTTCCCCTTTTGAGGTTGCATTGTTTTGTTCTGGAAGAGATTTTGGGAAGATATGGTTTCATTGTCAGTAAACCACATGATAAAGCAGAAGTCTAAGAACAATTCATGAAGTCAGTCCTGTTCAGCACAGTATTGCATAACTGGGGCATCGTTTTAGCTTCTTTCAGGGTTTTTTCATTGGCCTCAACTCCTTCTTTTGTGCACTGGCTGTTGTAATCCTAGGGACACATTTGTTTTTTTCTTTGTTTGTTTTCCAGTTGACAGCACACACTTGGTTATGTCACAGAAAAAGTGCAGGAAGGGAGCTTTTTAGATCTGCTGAAACTGCTGAGGTTCATGTGCTTTTTGTCTTTGGTTAGGAGTTTAAGGAACACGTATGTACAATATATGTGTCTGGAGTATCATTGTTCCACTGATAACGGTTATCCAAAGCAGCAGCAGAAATCCTGGATCCATCTTGTTTCCTGAAGTGAGCCAGACTCGCTGTAACCCCACAGAGTTCCTCGATCAAACTGCCAGGAATAGCAACTTTCCCTGTCTGTCTAAACTTTTGGCCTTTTTGTTATTCTGGGGCCGGTCCCCAAACGACAGGAAGAACATAATAGCCAGCATGCTTTTCCAATAATGACTTGGAACCTCCCCCCACATGATCCAACTTTTGCTTTGTACTTAATTTGTCTCCACATATTGTATGGTCACAAACTGGAAGCAAGCAAATCTTGTCCCTTACATGTAGACGACAGTTAAACCCATTGACATGTGGTGTCTCTTTGTTGGCTCGTGCCATTAGAGGGCTTGCTAGGTTTTCAAGGCTGTCTGGCTGTTCTGATCCAACATGTGCAGATCCTTACCGCAGCCAAATGTGAGCCAACCACAGCAGCTCTCAGACTACAGCAGACTGAGTGAATCTGTTCTGCAGCTGTGTCTGGTGAGCTCAGATCCTCAGTGACTGCTCTGTTTCCCCCGATTGGCTGCGCCAAGGCAAAATCCCATTTGGCCTGAGTCAGGAGAAAACATGATTAGCTTTTAACACTGCGGTGCTTGATTTCACTGAGCATGCCATCATTAGTGTGTAGTTGTTAAAATACAACGTGTCTTGTGGGGAGTGCAAACTTTGGAAATGTTGATTATGCCTTTGGCTGTCTCATTCTGTCATGTTTCTGAAGAGGTTCTGTGGGATGAAAGCATTACTTCAGAGCTTCAGTTCTTTGATTCCTGTGGCTTGTTGTTGTTGGCGTGGGGCCAAGCAGCTCTCCTTTCTCCAAAGCCTCAGGCTGGATGAGGGGAGGAGTGGGAGGGTGGGGAAGGGGGTCACCTGCCCCAGGTGTAGTGCTGTAGTGTATTCACGCAAGGCCTGTTGAAGAGCCTGTCTCGACTTGCAGCCGTAAACACTGCTGTGGACCCCCCAGTGATGCTGCGCTGTGTAAACAGTTGAGAAGAGACACAATCACTGTCTGTTTACAAGTGCTGCTCCATTCCCCTGCCTGAGTCACAGTGGTAGTCTGTTTTACTGAACAGTCCTGACACATTGCCACACTGTCCTCGACTGCTTTGTGTCCCTGGGGAAGCCAGTTAAAGAGCTGCAGAAATTAGGAAGCATTTATCTCACACAGTTTGAGTGATAGAACAGATCTATTCTCGAGTGGAGCTGTAGCTGTTGTCAGGCCAGATAGTAGCAGAGAGTGTGTGGGGAGGGGTGTTGAACAGCTGAAAGCAGGGTCTCGTGCATTCCTGGCATTCCACCAGACCCTCTTCCCACAGCACTCAGGGCTGGCCTAGCTGGCGACTCTTCACATGATGGAGTCAACAGCTGCTAGAGCTGCTTCCTCCTCCTCAGTGGCTCTGTCTGTCCACTAGTCTGCCAGTCTGTCTGCTGCTTGACCTCAGTTCCAGCTACTCATATTTCCTCATCCCAAAGCAGATAGTGGAACCACTAATGAATATTTATGACTTGACTTGATGTGTTTTATCATAAGGAAGTCACAAGTCAAAAGAAAATCTCACATTTGGAATTAAACAAGAATAAGGTGAAAACTGAAGGCTTTTTTTGAGCAGTGATTCAACTGCCTGACTAATCTCTCTTTCCATTTTTTTCGTTTCCTCAGGAACCCAGTAACAAGCGTGTCCGTCCTCTCGGCAGGGTGACGTCGCTAGCCAACCTCATCTCTCCAGTGAAGAATGGGGCCGTCCGGCGCTTCGGCCAAACCATCCAGGTAACCCCCTCTGACATTCCTTGGGTCAACAGGCATGGTTTCACTGTTCCACATGTTGCATTAGACAACTTGGTTTCCATTTGCAACATCTCTGACATCTGGGGCTTCCTCTTTTCCATCTGCAGGCCTCTTTCCGGGGCGATGGCAAGTTGCCGGGCGGGCCCCAGAAGCCTTTCAGTAAGGCAGCAGCCCCCACACCGCCTAAAAGGAGGAACAGCATTCTGTGGTCAGAGACGCTAGATGTCCACCAGAAGAGAGCTTTCTCCACCAAAGAGATCAAGCGGCAAGAGGTGAGACATGAAAACAGATGAAATGGTATTCAAAGGGTAGGACATGGCTAGGAAACCAAAGGGAAGGCACAGTTGTAGACAAACCAGACAGAGAACCAGACAGCAGTGAATGCTACCTGTTTATTAGCCTAGTTTCACATAGCCCTGCAGTATTTGTTTCAGATAGTCTAATGTGACTAAAAACATCCAAGGCTCATTTCCCAGTCTGTAAAAACCTCTCATAGACCTCACAAGCCAACAAACTAGTGATCTCCTCCTGCCCTACCTCTCCACTTGTCCTGCATATGTCAGACATCTTAGACAGCTGTCAACAGCCAATAAACTCTGCACAGTTATAAACAGAGAACAAGAAGGAGGGGGAGAGCCAGCCAGAGATTTTAAAGCAGACCTCCATCGATTGGCACCAGCGAGGTTTTAGATTTAGTTTAATGGCTGTCAGTTGCAATAATAATGATATTTTGAGTTGTGTTTTGCTAAGAAAGTATCTGTCTGTGCCTCCTCTTCAGGCCATATTTGAGCTGTCTCGTGGAGAGCAGGACCTGATTGAGGACCTCCAGCTTGCACGCAAGGTTTGTACTTATAAACCTCTGAGGCAGATTGAGAACATATAAAGCAAACTGATTAAATCAAAACATGGCAGGTCCTCCACACAGCCAAGCCAAGAACTATAAAAAGACAGGAGTTATTCTTTCTCTTGTACTCCTAAAGCTCTTCATGAACTATTCTTAGCAATCCACCCCATTGTCCTGCTGGAATGCTGTTATTTGACCATTTTGGTCCCCCCCTTTCCCCACAGGCATACCATGATCCGATGCTGAAGCTTTCCATTATGTCCGAGGAGGAGCTCACTCACATCTTTGGCAACCTGGATGCCTACATCCCTCTGCATGAAGACCTGTTGGCCCAGCTGTCTAAAGCCACAGGCCCAGATGGGACTGTTGGCCAGATTGGACAGATTGTTGTCAGTTGGGTAAGTGTTCTTTCACCAGGTCATCAGTCACTGTGGTTCTGTTAAAACAGAGGTTTCAAGTAAGGAAGACAGTTAGTGTAAGTGTGCTCCCTCCTTCTGCAGCTTCCCAGGCTAAATGCCTACAAAGACTACTGCAGCAACCAGTTGGCAGCCAAGGCACTGCTGGACCAGAAGAAGCAGGACCCGCGGGTGCAGGACTTCCCCTTGTCAAGTATCCACTGCTGCTTAAAGAGATACTGAGACATACTCCACCAGAACACCCCGATGCTGCCAGCCTGGAGGAAGCAGTAAGTAAAGGGCGCAAACACAACATAAAACTCTTAAAATGTGGCTGAAATAAAAAATTTGATTCCTTGTGTGTTCAGATCACCATCATCCAGGGCGTTCTGTCTGACATCAACATGAAGAAGGGGGAGTCTGAGTGCCAGTACTACATCGACAAGCTGGAGTATCTGGATGAGAGGCAGAGGGACCCTTGCATTGAGCAGTGCAAGAGCCTGCTGTGTCACGGGGAGCTGCGTAACAAGAGTGGCACGGTGAGCAACACACACACAGACTTTCCTCTCGTCAACACATTACTCCTTTGGCTGCACACATCAACACACACTTTACACCCCATATAAGGTAGTCAGACTGTAGCTGCCTAATCTCCCAACCAACCTATGATTTATGGACTTTGATGGCAGTAAACATCTTCCAGACAGCTTTGTTGGTGGTTATATAAGATATCGGTGCTATGGATTCAATATTTTTTGTTGTTGTTGTTGTATTCCTACCAGAAGCTGCATGTGTTCCTGTTTACTGAGCTGCTGGTTCTGACCCGCCCCGTCACAAGGAATGAGCGCCAGTGTTTCCAGGTTTACCGACAGCCGATCCCAGTTCATGATCTGGTGCTTGAGGACCTGCAGGATGGAGATGTCAGAATGGGCGGCTCCTTTAGAGGTGCTTTCAGCAACGCAGACAAAGGTAAGGCTTGTATCCAGTGTCAGAAACTTTACAGCAGCTAAAATAGCTTGACACACACACTATCCAACTGCTAATTAAATTTATTCCATTTCCTCAACAGCTAAGAACATTTTTCGAGTTCGTTCTCAAGACCCAAGCCAGGCACAGTCCCACACACTGCAAGTCAACGACGTCTTTCACAAGCAGCAGTGGCTCAACTGCGTCCGCCGTGCCATTTCTGTCCACCGGCCTCTCAGCGAGTCCTCCACTCCCAGCCTGACCACGAGCGGCGCCTGCTCCAAGCGCCGCCCCTACTCAGTGGCAGCCATCATGGTCATGGAGGAAGCAGACGAGAACTGCCCGCAGCCAGCCTCTCAGTCTGCCCCCACCTCGCCCTGCACAACCCCCAGATCCACCCCTTGTCCTTCACCCCTCTCCACATCTTCATCATTGACGTTATCATCGTCATCAACACCACTCTCCTCATCCATATCACACAAAACCAAAAAGGACAAGAAGTCTCTGTGTTCTCTAGGGAAGAGAAAAGAGACTATGGTGTGAGTGGAGCTGGCAGGAGAAAATGGACTCCTGGGTGGACATTTTGTTTTTTGTACATAAATGTTTAAAAAAACAACGCAGAGAAGCATAAGACTTGTATTTATGTGTGTCGGCATGTGTGCGTATTATTATAACAGTGTTCTGTGTTACTGTCCTGTTTGGCAGCTAATTTACCTTATTCCAACATCCAAGTGCATCCCACAGACACTTGCACGGCTATAAAAGGGAAGCATCATGAGAAGCAAACACACATTTTACCCATGAATCTGTGTGTCATGACTTTGTGGATTTCTTGAGAATAGTGGTCGTGCATCAAATCCTGTTTACTATTAATTTGATATTTAAACATTATTTTAGACCATTTTGAGAGGGGCTAATGAAAGTTTTACATTTTTATATTATATTCTAAAATTGATTGTAGTATTTTTAGGTATCATAGCACAGCACTGTTTTAGCTTTTAGATGACATTGTTTAAAATTGTCAGCATGTTTCGGAGGCAAGAAAGGAAGAATTCTCAAATGTAATCCACAAAGCTACAACTTTGTCTGGAAAAGTCTGATTTTAGTTTAATGAGAAGATAGGTCTTCTTTATATACATTCCTTAAATGACAAATGTTTGGACCTGGACACTATTTTATTTTTTGCAGGTCCTGCAGTCAGAGGCATTAATTTAAACCCAAAACAGTGATGAAACATCAAATGTCGAAATCAACGCAGAGAAGTTGACAAAATTTTGAACTGAGCCATGTTGGTTTTTTAAAAAGCTGACTTTTCAGAATTAAACTTTTCAGTGTAGCATCTTGCATGGAACTTTGGTGGTGGACAGTGATCCTGCTGATTAGTGCAAGGTGTGTAGAGCCACCAACTTCCTGTGTAAGTTGATGTGATATCTTGCATAGATGATAGATGGTAAAAGTTAAGCGGGTGTAATCAAGAGATTACCCAAACGTACGTAGGGGAAGGGAGATGAGAAGGTTTTTGTATGTAGGCAGAAGGTGTTTCTGTTGTTAAGATGGAAAAAGAAGAGACATGGCCAACTTGTTTGCCATGATATGTATGTAATAAAGAGAACAATAAAAGTCTGTGTAAGATTTGACCTACTGATTTTTTCTTTCTTCTTCACTCTGACTTAATGTTTTGTGAAGCATTCACCTCCACTGAAGCGAGAGAGAGAGATACCAACTGATATATAATTGTTTAATTCTTAACTGAACATGTAGGTGGCAAAGGAAAAATTTCCAGCGTCTGCTTTTTCAAACTGCAACATCCCATTTCCTTCTAAAGTTTTAAAATTCATCTACCTTTTGCACAGAATGCACTTATAATAAATACATACAGTAGTTTGTGCTTTCAAGGTTAATTTTAATTGGCAAAATGTAGAATCTCCTAGAGAGCAATGTGAAGACAATGGTGAGAGCAATGTGAAGACAATGGTGGTGATGAACAAGTGTTGACTTAGTAGTAGGTCTAAAACAAAATGACAAGGCCGAAGAGATATTTAAAGAGCAGCATCCAACAACCAGTAAGATGGCTGGAAATGTTAAATGAGGGTAAATATTTGGTGTGCACTCTGCATGCTCTTACATACTTATTGTTGTTTATCCATGAAGCCTATGAACGTGCAAATATCATTTGAAAGACTCTTTGAAATGCTGGAACTCTAGAATCGGAATCAAAATCTGCTTTATTGGCCAGGTGTGTCGGACACACGAGGAATTTGACTCTGGTACATCGGCTCTCAATGTGTATGTACATACAGTACAGTAAGCAATGCAGAAGGACAAAGGAATGAAACTGTCCTTGTGCCTGGTCATTTTGGTGCACAGTGACCTGTAGCACCGTCCAGAGAGGAGCTAGTTTGAACAAATTATGTCCTGGGTGTGAGGGGTTTACAGAAATCCTCTCCACCCTCCTTTTGACCCGTGAGGTGTACAGGTCCTCCATAGAGGCCAGGCTCACACCAATGCCCTTTTCTGCAGTCCTGACTGTCCGCTGAAGTCTGTTCTTGTCCTGTTTGGTTGCTGAGCCAAACCAGACAGTGATGGAGGTGCAGAGAACAGACTCGATGATTCCTCTGTAGAACTGTATCAGCAGCTCCCGGGGCAGGTCGAACTTCCTGAGCTGGCGCAGGAAGTACATCCTCTGCTGTAAAATATACTTTATGTAAATAAATGGCAACATATTGCTTATATTCTTGCAAGCTATATGCATGTACAGTTCATTCCAAACAGGTTTATTATGGCATGCAGAGTCAGTGATATCTGGACATTCCACAAATGGTTTGTAGTTTGAGTTCTTAATATCTTCATACCCAATATGGCTTTCCATTAAGTGGAAAAACTTTGTAAACAGTGGCAAATTTTCTATATGTGACTGGGAAGTTGTAAGTCATCATTGTTGTAAGTATAGTTACAAAAGACCATCAATATTAAATAATTCAGACTCAATAATGAAACGATGAAGCTACAAATGTGGTTTTCCCCAGCCTCACCTGCTGCTTCCTGTCTGTCAGAAAGCTAGTAATCCACTGACAGGTGGGGGCAGGCACAGTGAGCTGGGTCAGTTTGGAGTGGAGGATGTCCAGGATGATGGTGTTGAATGATGAGCTGAAGTCCACAAAGAGGGCCCGTGCATAGGTCCCTGGGGAGTCGAGGTGTTGCAGGATGTAATGCAGTGCCATGTTAACTGCATTGTCCACTGACCTGTTTGCCCGGTAGGCGAACTACAGGGGGTCCAGCATGGGGTCTATGATGTCCTTCAGGTGGGCCGACACTAGTCTTTCAAAGGACTTCATAACTACAGAAGTCAGGGCGACAGGTCTGTAGTCGCCCAGTCCACTGATGGAGGGTTTGTAGAGGACAGGGATGATGTTGGAGTGTTTGAAACAGGATGGGACTTCACATAGCTCCAGTGACCTGTTGAAGATGAGTGTGAAGATGGGGGCCAGCTGATCAGCACACACTTTCAGGCAGGAGGGGGTCACACCATCTGCGCCTGGTGCCTTTCTGATCCTTTTTAAAGAGGCCACACACATCCTTTTCACAGATCGTTAGAGGTGAGGGGCTGGAGGGAAGGGTGGTGATTGTCGGGGGAGCAGCTGCTGGGTCTGAGGTGGGGATGGTGAGGGGGAGAGTTGTTTGTCAAACCTGCAGTAGAACACATTCAGGTCGTTGACAGTCTTCCACAGCAGGGGGAGGATGGTTTCCCATAGCCAGTGATGCTTTTCAGGCTCCCCCACACCGAAGAGGGGTCATTGGCTGAAACCTGAGCTTTCAGCTTTTCAGAGTAGCTCCTCTTTGCTGCTCTGATCTCTCTTGTCAGTGTGTTCCTGGCCTGGCTGTACAGAGTCCTGTCCCCACTTCTGTAAGCCTCCTCTTTGGCACGACGAAGCTGCTTGAGTCTTGCTGTGAACCAGGGCTTGTTGTTGTATGTGCAGAAGGTCTTTATGGGCATGCACACATCCTCACAAAAGCTGATATAAGATATGACAGTGTCAGTGAGTTCATCCAGGTCTGTAGCTGCAGTGTCAAATACTACAGAACTACTTGTCTTACAAATTGTAAATCTGACTCATATATTTTGCTCATTTGAATGCGTGAGGACCATGTTATACCTGGAATTTATTTAAATCAAACATAGTTATTTTTGTTTGCTTTTCATCCATACAAATTCAAATGGGATGTTTATTTGAGTGTTGGAGGTGTCTGCTGAATCAGCGTTGATGACTGAGCTAACAAAGGGGCTGAGATTAATTTTATGATGCTTTCACCAGTTGCTGTTACATAACAATGCAGCCTCTCTTTTTTTTTTGGAGATGTTGCCCTTTATGTAACAAACACAAGCAGCTTTTAGGCAGCACCACAACTCTCTCTTTAAACACAAAACCTTATGACAACCAGCCCAGACATAGGCGTATTAGGAGTCAGTGTACCAGAAACTTCTCTCTCAGCAGCTCCTATGTACTGCTGAAAGATTTGTGAACCAGAGTATTTTCTTACTCAGACAGCTGAGCCTCCTGTCAGTGACACGTCACTGCCACATCCTTTCACACTCATCTCCTTCCATTAAAATGGCACGAACACAACCTGACAGCTACAAACTACAATCAGCTGCAGTTTCTGAGCAGCCCCATGCCAACAGAGACTCACCGTGAGGGATCAGATAAACCAGGGGAAGCAGAAACTTCCCTGACTGGTCTCACTCTGACACCCAGTTTCTCTGTTACTGTAACTACAATGTGGAAGTGACACATAATACTGACAAGGAACTGAGATGACAGAGTTTGTGATAGACAAGAGTTTAATGATACGTAGGTCAAAGGGCAAATCAAATGAATTTTAAGATCATAAACTGCAGTGCTTCAGATAACCTGTTGCACATCTAGACCGTTAAGTTAAAAACTGAACATATTTAACTTTTTCCCACATTCAAACAAAATTTCAAATAAAAAAAGTGCCAACCCCAGTATGTAGTGTAGTATACCACATATTTATTTCATCAGAAATGTATTCAGTTTAGGGACTGTTGTCACTGGATATTAACTTTAATTCAGTTTCATACTAGACTACTCTTCATCAAGTTTTGAGGATTTGGCTGGAACATGTTGCTGCCTTGTAATGAGAATCCTGCTGTTTGGAGAGGTATTGAGGTGACCAGTTTAACTAGCACAAAGGTCAGCATAAACTTCCAGTAAATTGCCGGCCATGCCAATGAAGGAAACTGTGGACAAAAATGTCAACATACAAGGACTGTTTTCACAAAAATTGTAAAACAACTGGAGAAAGATGTGAATATGACATGTACAACATATTTCATGGAACACAACGGGACACTGCAGCCTGTTGAAGGCCCACTGACAGTGTTGGTGGCCATGTGGGTGATGAATTCATTTACTCTCGGCTCAGGCATGGTAATAAGACAACACAGCCGCACGCAGAGTGGAGAGGAATATAACAGAGAGATTGTCTGAGATTAACACGTAGACACACATAGCTTTTCAATGCCTTCTAATGCTTATGTATCACTTAAATACAGCATCTCTTTTATTACTGCTGGGATGGATGCTAGAAGGCACTGGAAACTCCCTGGATATAAGACTTTTAGATCAATTTACTAAATCCACACCTACAACCAATAACATAAGCTCAGGACAAAATCTCACCAGTAAAGTGTTGCTTGGAGGCAACTTCAGAAGACTGCAGGTCAAACAGGTTCACAGCACCACTCCATCAAAACCCAGACTCCATGTTTATGTCAAAATAGACTCTTTTCTGCTTGTCCTGACAGAATGGCAGCATGTTCAGTCATCACTTGCACACAGCAGAAAAGAGCTGTCAGCTCAGTGTGCTTTTCCGTCAGACAAATGTCACTTTGTCTTAGGGATTTCCTTTCGCCTCAGGAGATGATATGTCAGGGTGGCAAAAAAGGCTTTGAAGAATGGGTTAAATATTAATTTTAAAAAGGGTTATGGAAATGTTTCCCTTCAGGGATGCTTTACACAAAACAAATCAGGATTCCAACCAAGTTCCATCTGTTACAATAGAGCTTCTTTTAAACATTAATAGCCCAAAGTCTACTTTTTCTCATGAACAGCAGTTGTATGAAGACAATAAAATGGTGGCTAATCAAGTGGGCAGAGTTTTGCTATCAGGCCACTACTGTGGGTGAAAGTCCTATTCTTTTTTGTCAGACACTTGGCTGAGTTTGGATGGTTATCTTTTGGTTATCAGTAAACCATCAGTGTAAGCCGTGTGC